TATATCTGTACTGGAAAGTGGGAAAACAAAGAAAGAACAGGAGCCAGGTCTTTCTTATCCCAAGGCTGCTACCTCATTTGCATTTTCTGCTTTGTCACCGCAAGTGGCTGAGTTTTCAACCTTTGCTATAGACAAAGGCTCAGGTTTCCCTTCCCCATTTCCCACGGTGACTCACTTCTCTTTACTCTCTCCATATATTCTTGTCTCTCTTTTTGTATATAAAGTTAATATTTAGGCTGGGCACCGTGGCTCACACCTGTAATTCCTGCACTTTAGGAGGGTGAGGCAGGCAGATCACTTGAGGTCCAGAGTTCAAGACCAGCCTGGCCAACGTGGCGAAACACTGTCTCTACTAAAAATATAAAAATATTAGCTAGGCGTGGTGGCGCATGCCTGTAATCCCAGCTATTCAGGAGGCTGAGGCAGGAGAATCACTTGAACCCGGGAGACAAAGGTTGCAGCCAGGAACTGACAGAGTGAGACTCCATCTAAAAAAAAAGTTAATATTTAATGCATTGATGTAAGGCTAAATAACTTCAGGACCACTTTTGAAACTTTTCTCAAACTGTTTTGAAATCTTCAATCTTCAGAAAGTCTGTGAAAAATCATTTTATTTTCACAATAGCGTGTGTATGTGTGCGCAGGTAGACGAGAGCAGTTACTCTATGAAGGATCTATTACTTGTCTTGCTATTTGTTTTGTTTGACTGATAGCCTATTTCTATGGATGAGATCTGAGAGTTGGATACTCGGCCCTGTGGAAGAGGAGTCTTCTTTAAGGTCATTATCAGTGCAGGCCTGGCATTCACCTAAGCAGTAATAGAAACCTGAAAAACAGTGGCATTAAAAAATGGGAGTTTAATTTTTCAATATTTAGAATAAATTTAGAGGTGAGAACAGGGGTCCTAATAGCATAGCAATATTGGCAAGAACCTAGTGTAATTAACCATGTTTTCTAGTTTCTGAATTCTGATGCTTCCACATCTTGGGGTCTTGCTGAGCCTGGAGTGACTGCCCTTCCCAGGGTGAGCTAATTCCTAGAAGCAAATAACTCGCCTATCATATGTAGGTCAACCAGTCTAGACCCGTCCTCCCAACCGCCTCCTTCCTTGGGCTCTGCCACTCCTAGCTGCAATTCCCCTAGTCACCCCAGGGCCAGTACTAGACAGCTAGGGACAGCCCCTATCCCCCAGAGGCTGCTGAAATTATTCAGACTAGCCAAGCCTAAACTTGCTTACCTGCCTGCACACTCCTGCCTGTGAAACCACAAAAAGGGCTCCTGCCCACATTTTCCTTTCACTCCTGCTGCCTCCTGACTGACTCGGGTGCTTCCCCCAGGGGCACCCCCTGCATACCATGCCATGCCTCATGCAGGTTTCTAGGGAACTGTGAGTAAACTTCTTCCTCCATGAAAGTGATTCCTGTGTCTGCATGTCTTACCTCACCTGATTAAAACAAATCCTGCTACCTTTACAACCCATAGGTCCATCCAGCCTTCTGAGCCACCGCCCTGACTCCATCTAGCAGCAAGAATCTCATTTCTGGGCCAGGTGCAGTGGCTGATGCCTGTAATCCCAGCACTTTGGGAGACCGAGGCTGGTGGATCATTTGAGGTTAGGAATATTGAGACTAGCTTGGCCAACATAGTGAAATCCTGTCTCTACTAAATAAAAATAAAAATGATTAGCTGGGTGTGGTGACACATTTCTGTAACCCCAGCTACTTGGGAGGCTGGGGCATGAGAATCACTTGAACCTAGACGGGGAGGCTGCACTGAGCCAATAATGTGCCACTGCACTCCAGCCTGGGTGACAGAGTGAGACTCTGTCTCATAATCACATAAAATAAAAAGAATCTCATTTCTGGTGGTGTGGTGGCTCACACCTATAATCCCAGCTCCTTGTGAGGCTAGGATAGGTGAATCACTTGAGGCCAGGAGCTTGAGACCAGCCTGGGGAATGTAGCAAGACTCCGTCTGTAAAAAAATTTTTTTTTAAAAATTAGCCAGATGTACCGGTATGCATCTGTAGTCCCAGCTATTCAGGAGGCTGAGGCAGGAAGATCACTTGAATTCAGGTGTTTGAGGTTACAGTGAGCTGTGATCACACCACTGCACTCCAGTGTGGGCAACAGAATGAGACAGAGTGAGAGTGTCCCTAAAGATAATAATAATAAGAATCTCATTTCCATTTTTTAATTTTTTAATTTTTTGGTGCCATGACTCAGATGAATCTCATTTCTTAATTTATTTTCCTCCTTAACACTTACCATATTCTGGCATACCATATATTTGCTTGTAATTTGTCTCCTTTCACTAGACTGTAAACTCCTTGAAGGCAGAGATTTTTATGTTTTCTTCATGCTAAGTTCCCAGAATTGAAAACAGTGCCTGGCATGTATTTGCTGAATAAATGATTAAGTGCTCTCAAGTTGATGGCTGGAGTTCAGACCATCATGGCTTTGTTTCAGGCTGGAAGAAGCGGGAGAGTAAAAGGCAAAGGAGGTCTGTGCCAGTTGAGTCAGTCTTAGCACAGAACTTTTCTGAAAGTCCCTTTTACGTAACTTCGGCTAACATCTCATTGGCCAGCTCTAGGCCATGCCACCACTCCTACCTGCAAGGCAGTTTGAGGCCAAAAAAAATTTTAAGCATAGAACTTTGCTAAACAAAATAAAATTGGGGTTTTGCTAGAAAAAGGAAAGGGACCATGAATACGGGGTCTCTGCAAGGTGGCTGTTGGTTGTATTCCAAATGCCCACGGCATTATACACGGAAAATTATACGTGGAGCTCTTTAATCTGGCCTGTGTTTTTCTCCCTATTTACTCTTTTTTTTTCAAGATGGAGTCTCACTCTGTCGCCCAGGCTGGAGTGCAGTGATATGATCTTGGATCACTGCATCCTCTGCCTCCTGGGTTCAAGCGATTCTCCTGCCTCACTCTCCCATGTAGCTGGGATTACAGGTGTCCGCCACCACACCTGACTAATTTTCATATTTTTAGTAGAGATAGGGTTTCACTATGTTGGCCAGGCTGGTCTTGAACTCCCACCTGCAATCGATCTGCTCCCCTAGGCCTCCCAAAATGCTGGAAATGCAGGCGTGAGCCACCGTGCCCAGCCTCCTCTCTATTTACTCTTGTGAGTAACATCAGCTTCTTTGAACTTTACCAAACTTTGATTCCTTAATTGCGTACTTAACTGTCTATTTGTTGAGTTTCCAAGATGTAATTGCATATAATTCCGGGAACTGTGAGTAGTAAGAATCCCCTTAACCTACCAGCTGTCCTATTTTTATATACCATTATTCCTACTGAAACATTCAGTGGCTTAAGCTCTGCCCAACAGGCTCCCCACCCTGTGTGCCTGTGTGGTGGGTGTGTGTGGTCTGTGTGTTGTGTGTGTGTGGTGTGGTGTGTGTGTATGTTGTGTGTTGTGGTGTGTGTGTATGTGGTGTGTGTGTTGTGTGTATGTGTGTGTTGTGTGTGATGTGTGTATATGGGTGTGTTTTATGTTGTGAGTGTGTGTGTTGTGTGTATGTGTGTGTGTTGTGTGTATGTGTGTGATGTGTGTACATGGGTGTGTTGTATGTTGTGAGTGTGTGTGTTGTGTGTATGTGTATGTTGTGTGTGTGGTGTATGTGTGTGTTGTGTGTGATATGCGTATATGGGTGTGTTGTATGTTGTGAGTGTATGTGTGTGTTGTGTGTATGTGTGTGGTGTGTGTGGTGTGTATGTGGTGTGTGTATGGTGTGGTATGTGTGTGGTGTGTGTATGTGTGTGTTGTGTGTGATGTGTGTATACGGGTGTGTTGTATGTTGTGAGTATATGTGTGTGGTGTGTGTAGGCGTGTGGTGTGTGTGGCGTGTGTATGTGTGGTGTGTATGTGGGGTGTGTGTGTGGTGTGTATGGTGTGGTGTGTATGTTGTATGTGTGTGTTGTGTGTATATGTGTGTCGTGTGTATGTGTTGTGTATATGGTGTGTGTGTGTGGTGTGTATGTGCACATGGGGATGTGCACACTCACATCACAGATAAGGGGAAGATGGAGACTCTCGTGGCCCTTCCTCCTTTTTTCCAAGGCTGATGTTGGCCCTTTCTGAAAATGCTTTGAGGTGTAGAAAGCAGCCGGCAGATAAGCTCTCCCTGTGATAAAGGAGCCGCAGCCCGAGCAGGGCCCCTCCCACCTCAGCCTCCTAAGCAGCTGAGACTGCATGTGTACCACCACACTTAGCTAAGTTAAAAACCAGTTCTGCAGAGATAGGGGTCTCACTGCGTTTCCCAGGCAGACCTCAAATGCCTGGCCTCCAGTGATCTTCCCACCTTGGCCTCTCAAACACTTTGATTACAGATATGAGCCACCACAGCTGGCTGAGAATTTCTTTATGGCCATCTCCTAGACAAAAATGCAGGGAGAGGTTAGAGTAATAATTCCAGTTTTTATGGCTTTTGCTTTGGAGAAAAATGGTTCTAGTTTCTAGGACCTGCCTTGGGGAAGAGGATTTTGGTTTCTGTGACTCACTTCAGGGGAGAATGAGGAACAAGAGAGACAGGAGGGCAGGAGCAGGTCAGAGGGACCTTGGTTCTGAGGCTGCTTCTGAGGCCTCCCAATGTCCTTTATTTTCATTTATTCATTTATTTATTTATTTTTGAGATGGAGTCTCACACTGTTGCTTGGGCTGGAGTGCGATGGCATGACCTTGGCCCACTGCAGCCTCCGCCTCCCAGGTTCAAGCGATTCTCCCGCCTCAGCCTCCTGAGTTGCTGGGATTACAGGCACATGCCACCACCCCCAGCTAATTTTTTATACTTTTAGTAGAGATGGGATTTCACTGTGTTGGCCAGGCTGATCTCAAACTCCTGACCTTGTGATCCGCCTGCCTCGGCCTCCCAAAGTTCTGGGATTACAGGTGTGAGCCACTGCACCCGGCCTCCAATGTCCTTTAGTTAAGTACTCAGTGCCATACTTTGGGGGTATTGTGTTCTGAACCCCAGCAGAAACAACCCACTCTCTTGGCATCAGCCTCGTGCCTACACCTGCAGAAACAGGAGCACAAGCCACTGCAGGGGTGGGCTCCTTGGACGGAGCAAGTCCAGTGTCACCTGCTCCTCACCTGTACCCAGTGGCCTTTCTTGGCAGCCTCCCCATCTTCTCATGTGGCTCTGTATCTTGATATCTTCTCTGGCAGATGTAGCCTGCTGCCTCCACAAACTCCATTGTCCTCTTCTCCTTCAACCATGGAAACTTGAGTTTGTCTGTGGTATCCGTGTGCCCCTTTGAAGCACTGACTTCCCCAGACTCCCTTGAATCCAGCGTGGCCACATGACTATTTGGATGAGTCATCAGTAGAAGTCAGCTTGGTGGGGCTTTCAGGGAAACAACTGCTTTCCTGTTTTTATTTGTTTTTCTTCTTCTTTTTTAAAATTTGCTCCTGCCACCCCTCCCTGTGTTTGTTTGTTTTTAAGATGGATTTGACTGGAACACATCTTTTGCTCTTTCTTCCTCCTTTCTGCCTGGAATGTTGATGTGGTGTCTGAAGGCAGAGCAGCCATCTTGCTCACATGACATAGAAAGGTAGATGTGAAGACATCTAGCAGGAGATTGCATCTCTGGTGATTGTTTGGAGCAGCTGTATCGCCCTGGACTGCCTGCCCCAGTATTCTTGATAACTGGGAAAAGTAAACACCTATCTAGTTAGGCCATTGTATTGAGTTTTTGTTACTCAAGAACCAAACACAATCTTTATTGATTGATTGATTGAGATGGAGATTTGCTCTTGTCGCCCAGACTGGAGTGCGATGGCACGACCTCAGCTCACTACAACCTCTGCCTCCCAGGTTCAAGTGATTCTCCTGCTTCAGCCTCTCAAGTAGCTGGGATTACAGGTGCCCGCCACCATGCCTGGCTAACATTTTGTATTTTTAGTAGAGACGGGGTTTCACCATGTTGGCCAGGCTGGCCTTGAACTCCTGACCTCGTGATCCGCCTGCCTCCATCTCCCAAAGTGCTGGGATTACAGGGTGAACCATGGCATCCAACTTTTTTTTTTTTTTTTTTTT